TCATGTCAGGTATTATTTGATAATTTGGTCATTTATTTCACTGATTTGGCCACCGTCAAACGTCATCAGGGAAACGGTTTGAATTTCAGCTTAGTAAAAAAACATTAGTGTGCCATTTGGGACAACACTACATACATGTACTATGCTGTTGAGTGTGTAAGTGCATGAGTGCATAGTGTGCCATTTTGGCTTATGTGTGTGTGTGTGTGTTTTTGGGGAGGCTATTGTTAAAATGTGGAGATTTTTAGCAGTTTGTGTGTGTGTGTGTGTACAATTAGCTGTAGATTTTTGTATATGTGTGTGTGTGTTTGGACTGTGAGGGAAATCGGAGCACCCTGAGGAAACCCACACCAACATTGGGAGAACATGCAAACTCCACACAGACACAACAACTGACCCAGCTGGGCTTGAACCAGCGACCTTCTTGCTGCGAGACCACAGTGCTAACCACTGATCCACCGTGCCACCCTGCTTGTAAAAGTAGTGATGTGCAATGTTTACTGTGATTTCGGTGAGCTCAGGCCTGATGCTCCTGAACTATTTCTCTAGTAGTTTCTCTTGTTCTGTCTGTTAAAACAATGTTGGGAAATCTCCACAAACACGAGCAAATCGAAGCACTTTGGTTTACTCTGCTTTAAATTGGCTTTCACACTGACTATGGATTTTTATGGGCTGCCTAAACTTGTGGTGGTAAATCAAGCAGAACCAGACAAACCGTTCCCAACGCTGACCTTCTCTCTTAATGCAGTCTATAGAGCCGCGAGGATATATCGCCAACAACACAGCCAATCTAGATTCAATTACCAACTGGGCCAAGAGGGCAATTTATAACTAAACACACACACACACTCGTGTAGATGCTCCTGAGGATGCGAGAGGTCGAGCCGCATGCATTAAACTCCTGTGTTTACCGTGGAGAAACACTGAGGGATTCAGCATCATGACTTTCTAAACATAATTCAGAGCTGAAATCTCCAGCGTGTCCTGCTTTTCGCTCATAAGCCGAGATACAGAGAACAGAATTTAAATGTATTGCTGAAATGAGCTTCCTCAGTCACAAAGGTGTGTGTGTGTGTGTGTGTGTGTGTGTGTGCATTTGCATTATGAATAATTACGCATCATAATTATGTGCGGTGTTTTATGGGATTTGTTTGAGCTCATGAAATGCTGATTTCATACAGGCCTGAAAGATGCACTCTTTTCGTCTGAGCTGTTCTTGGTTAGTTTGTTTTCCTGTACAAATATCTGAACGTTCTTGAGTCAATTTGAGAGCCAAATCTGGTTAAGATTTAAAGTTCTGTACTGAAAAATGTATAAGTAATCAATTAAGAATTAAAGGGGTGGTCCAGGATGTAGTTTTAAGGCTTAGTTGTGTTTAATAGATGCAAAGCAATCTGTGCTCATGTTTCACTTAAAGGAAATCGCGTTATTTTTTCATATATCTCACTTTGATTATATACAGCTACTCAGCTAACATGAAAACAATATATATAGGATATATACATCCTCTTAAAGGCCCTTTACTTTCCGTAACAAGTGCTTGTGCACGGGAGTTTTTTTTTCTTTTTCTCTGATGCTCGGATTAAGTTGTTTTCTGTAATATATCGTGACAGAAGAATAAAGCACAAGATGTGGGATGCTACCTGTGTGAGCCTTGATTTATCTTTCTGCTGCTACACAATCAGGTGACCTCTCCTGTATTTTTTTAACTTAACGCGTTACACGACGTCTTTCACATGTATCCGGAATATGCAGGTGTAAGTAATAGGAATCATCCACAAATCTTTTGTGACTTCATTAGCTGAGATGTGAAATGCACAAAGAAGTCGCGCACACACATAGAGACACGAACATGCTGGTGGAGTGTGTGTGTGTGTGTGTTTACAGCAGTTTGACTGATAAATATGAGTTTGTAGCTCAATCATTTGCCCGCAAAACAGCATTTCGCATTGTTTACATCGTTGCTACAGCAAACCGTTAACGCTAGACACTGAACATGTCATGATCAATTTGAACAAATAAAAACACTTACAGGTTGTAGCTCACAGCTTCTGTTTTGAGGAGATTTTAGCCAAATCCAGCACTGAACTGGGAGAGATTCTGGAGCTGTTTTGTCAAATCATGCTTGCTCTGTATTTGATAATTCTTTGGAACATAATTAATATTGAACTGTAAGCACTTCTGTCTTTTTATCGTGTCCTTTGGAAGCCCAAATACAGAAACAGACGAAGCTCTGTGGAAACAGCCGTGTTTAGACGCATTTTAGCTTCATGCTATAACGTTACAGCGCATCTGGCCACGGCTGCGCAGTGTGTGCACAATAAACGAACCTTTGTGATGTCACAGGTGGGTGGAAGTATTTTTCGTAGTCCCCAAAATTCGTTCATTGTAGGCTTTGCTAAGCTAACTATGTAAAAATCAAGGTCTCCCTTTGCATTGAACTTTTTACATTCAGAGGTGTTGTTTGTTCACACAGCTACATTACACATCAACCAAAGTTCAAAATATGATATCATCGTGGACCACCCCTTTAAACTTTTTATTAAATTACTTAACTGACATTAACTGAGAAAATGTCTTGTCATTTCAGTCTTTCCTGCCTTTGGTAATTGTTTGTAAACGTTCTTGGCAAATTCAGAGTGATCTTGTTTCTTTGCCTAATTATTTGTTTTGTAGTACAACTCAGTTGAGATGCTGCACGCCAACCAGTTTATGCGACGCTAAAACCAGCATCCAAAATAACTTTATACTGGGAACAAGTAATGGAATCTTCTTAACTGGTGAAATCTGTTCTTAACCTTCGGTCACCAGATAAACCAGCTAAGCTGATCTGATGTGTTTTACAACAGTGCTTTATTCCTGATGCGTATGCTTTACTGCTTGTGTGTAAATAAATGACCACATGCTGATGTCCTTAACAAGAGTTTCTGCTTATAGTCTGACTGTAAAAGGCTACATTATGCAGATTGAGTCAGTTTAAGAAAACCTTTGCTGACTGAAGATTTTGAAACTGCCAAAAAGGGATTATTGTTTGTTTATTTGTTTGTTTGAAACCTTTACATTTGAGCTTGATTTAAGCCAATTAAATTTAAATAATAAAATAAAAATATTTCAGTTTAATATCAAGGCTATTCTATAAAAATAAAGCCAATTTATGCATAATAATGAAAGTACATATCTTAAAAACTAACAAAACAAAGTTTTTTAATGCTCTTGCCATTTTCTTTTCTTTTTTTTGAGGGGAAAAATTAACTTAATTTGGCCATTTGAACTCTTAAAAGTTTATTAAACTGATTATATTTTTACTAAATAACATAATTTATGTATTCATTTATTTATTCATTCATTTATTCATTTCCTTTTGTGCTTGGTCCCTTTATTAATTTGGGGTTGCCACAATGAAATGAACTGCCACATTATCCAGCATATGTTTATGTATATTAATTAAGTTTTAGTTTCTTATTTACTAACAGTTAATAAATAAAGAATAGTTACAACTTTAGGGTGCTTTCACACCTACACTTTTGTTTCGGAACGTGTCTCGTTTGCCCAGTTAGCGCGGTTCGTTTGGCATATGTGAACAGGGCAATCGCGCTCTGTTCCGCGCCAAAGTAATCGCTCCGAGATCACTTGAATGAGGTGGTCTCCGCTCGATTGAAACAAACCCTGGAGCGGTTCGATTGCAGTGAGAAAGCGATCTAATCCGAGCGCGGTTATATCACAGTGTTTATGGATATGTAATAGGCATACGGCTATATGAAGAGAGAATTATGAGTAGAGCGGGAAGTTTCACGAGTCTCCGGATGCCCGCAAACGAGTGATGATCTCGCGGTGATCTTGCGTCTTCCTCCCGGTCATCAAATAGGCATCGTCACGCACCCTTCTCACCCCTCCCCACCGCGTCTCTCCTCAGACACGTCGCGCGCGCACCCTGTCAATCACCACCAAACCACCACTTCTCCTGACAGCTGAGCGGGACGCTGCAAAATAAACCCTGACACTCTGACCAATGTGAGGAGAGTTTACTCGCACGTGACTTGTTTTAGCTCTTTTGGTCTGATTAGAAACTTTGCAGTGTGAAAGTGAACCGCTCCAAGAGCAAAGAGCAACACTGTAACAATTGTAATCTCTGTTTCAGAACAACTGAATCCATTCACAGGTGTGAACGCAGCCTTAGAATAGCATCCCAATAGCATATATAAACTATTAACTCATACTTAACAAGTCTTTAGTAAGTGATTTTCCAACAGCTTGTTCATGATCTATTACTAATTTATTAGGTATAGATTTAAATCATTAAAATACAGTTAAAAAGTAATTTATAATTGTTTGTAAGCTGAAAAAAAAATTGTAAGTTTTCTATTGGCTGTCTATAAGGCACAGTTGTAATTCAATTCAATTCAGTTCAGCTTTATTTGTATAGCGCTTTTACAATGTAGATTGTGTCAAAGCAGCTTCACATAAATGGTCATAGTAACTGGAATGGTGTGGTTCAGTAACTGGAACAGTGTGGTTCAGGTTTTAGTGTTTAAGTTCAGTTCAGTTCAGTTTAGCTCAGTTCAGTGTGATTTAATCATTACTGAGAGTTCAAACACTGAAGAGCCAATTCATCGATGCGTAGCTCTACCAATCCTGAACCATGCGAGGCAGTGGCGACAGCGGAGAGGGAAAAAAAACTTCACCTGATGGGAGTGAAGAAAAAAAACCTTGAGAGAACCAGACTCAGTTGGGCACGACCATTTTAATTTCTCCGCTGGCCAAAAGTCTTGTGCAGAACTTCATTCGCCGTGGTTTAGGCTGGAAGTTGTAAATAATAAACAAACGATTAACTTTTATTTAACAAGTCATTCATAACTCATTAACTAACAGTTTATTAATGATCTTTAAACTAGTTGTAACGGATAGTTTTTCTAAATTGTTACCCACCATTTAAGACTTGTGACTTACTCTTGCCTCTGCTAAATAATACAGTTGCTGGTTTGCTGTTGTACTTTCTGCAGGTTTTACTGGGATCTGACTATGCTGCTCCTGATGGTGGGCAATCTAATCATCATCCCGGTCGGCATCACCTTCTTTAAAGATGAGCACACGCCGCCGTGGATCGTCTTTAACGTGGTCTCCGACACTTTCTTCCTGATGGATCTGGTGCTGAACTTCCGCACGGGGATCGTAAAGGAGGACAACGCAGAAATCATCCTGGACCCTCAGCAGATCAAGATCAAGTATCTGCGCTCGTGGTTCGTGGTGGACTTCATCTCCTCCATTCCCGTGGACTATATCTTCCTCATAGTGGAGACGCGCATCGATTCGGATTTCTACAAGACGGCGCGAGCTCTGCGGATCGTCAGATTCACTAAAATCCTCAGTCTGCTGCGGCTGCTGCGGCTCTCGCGCCTCATACGATACATCCACCAGTGGGAGGAGGTCAGTACACACACAACAATTTTACATCTGGTATACAGGGGGTTAATAATTCAGGAGGGCTAATAATTCTGATTAACAGTATACTGTATGAGGATCATGTGATGCTGAGGGACTCGCATTAGTATTTTTTTTCATTGTGCGAGAGATTTAAAACTTGACACAGTTTTTTCATACACCTGTGAATTTTATTTAATTATTATTATTATTATATTCATGACCATTAATTCAGCAACATATTGATACATTTATTATTATTATTATTATTATTATTATTAATATTATTATCATGGCCATTAATTCAGCAGCATATCAACACATTTATTATTTTTATTATTATTATTATCATTATTATTATTATTATTATTATTATCATGGTCATTAATTCAGCAGCATATTAACACATTTATTATTATTATTATTATTATTATTATTATTATTATTATCATGGCCATTAATTCAGCAGCATATTAACACATTTATTATTATTATTATTATTATTATTATTATTATTATTATATTATTATCATGGTCATTAATTCAGCAGCATATTAACACATTTATTATTATTATTATTATTATTATTATTATATTATTATCATGGTCATTAATTCAGCAGCATATTAACACATTTATTATTATTATTATTATTTTATTTTTGAAATTTTTTTATTATATTATTATATAAAATATTGTTATATTTAATACATTAAAATAATAATAATAATAATAATAATAATAATAATAATAATGCTGAATTAATGGTCATGAATATAATAATAATAATCATCATCATAATCATCATATTTCATTGTTGTTATTATTAACTTTGTTATTGTTTTATTATTATTGAATATATTGTATAAGTATAATTATTATTATTAATGGTAGTAGTAGTATTAGTAGTACCATTAATATTATTGACTAGATTGTGTACCTATTATTATTATTAGTATTATTATTATTATTATTATTATATGTGCAGTATGTAAGTTTGACACCTAGTGGTTGAACAAGGTATTGCAGTCCTGGATCAACACATTTTCACTCAGCTCCTCCCTCTCACGAGTCCACAAGCGCAGGTTGCCAGATTGGTGGCTGATTTGAACCGTTTTCTAACCAAAAGCAAATGCACGCAATAGAAGGAATATTTTCCATACTAAAAGGAGTTTTGTCCTAAGCAACACCTGAAATTTATATTTTAGAAGTGGCTTCTCTTTCTCACAGCTGAACAACAGAAAACTGACAATGATCAGCTCAGGTGCAGCTCCTGTGCTTTATTCAGTGTTAAATGCCAATGATTTGAGTTTAAATGCCATTTTACAGGACATTTATTGCCATACTACTGAAAGCAGCAGCAGATAGTTCTGCTCAGCTCTGGAAAATAAAATAAACCGTCTGAAACTGACTCAGTGCAAACCAATACATATCAGTGATACAGCCTCCACATTAAATAATGTTAAAGAGGTTTTATATGTATTAATTAGACTATAAGCCTTACCATAGTTCTGGAGTGCAGTGAGTGCACTATTCTGTGCTTCTGAATGGCTGTATTTACATTTCTGTCCTGTTTTTCTAGTGCAAACAGGCAAATTTATCACTGCAAATCCCGTCATGTAGCGTGTTGTTAGGACACAGGGATACAATGTAACCTGCTCACCTAATGTTAACGCTTGTACTATTTATATTACTTGCTTATTAATAACCACCTCATGTGGAACTCTGAATCTGCGTCTCATATCAGAGTCTGCTACTGTCCACCAGAGGTCGCATTTCGGTCATGGACGGCTTTGAGAGCCTTCCTGACTGAATAAATGAAATACGCTGTTTTCCACCAAGGCAACCCGGGGTGCTGAAATATAATATAAAAAAAACCAAAACAAAGACAGCCGTTCTGGCACGTAACACACATTTTCAAAAGTGGGTTTCAAAGTGTGCACAATATCTGACTTTAGCATTGTTTTTCACATTAACAAGAATGTTCACTGAGCATGTTTCTGAAATATCTGCAAACATATGATGGTGTTTCATGCTTTAGAAGAGGCAAAAACTGACATACAGCAGCTTTACTGTTGTTATTATTATTAGTAGTATTAGTAGGATAGTGGGGAGCTATTCTTTGAATAACTAACTTTATTAATGCATAGTGAACGAAAGTCTTAGTTTGGTTTAAGAATAAAGATTTCTCCTGTAATTTTCAAGTAGAAATACAAGCACCGATACCATAGCAATGGCTTGTATAATAAAATATAATATGGCTCATATAATAAAGATTTTTTTAAATGTTTCAGATGCAGTATATCTGCAAATTTAAGCATATGTTTTCATGAAACTAGTGAGATTTGCATTGGTGTCTGGTTAATATCCTGAGTGTGTTTTTTCTGAAATCACAGGCCGAGTGCAGCATATGTCACATGACTCTCATTTGCAGGCAGTCTGGAAGCTTTGGCAGAAATCGAAGTGTTGAGTCTTGCATGTATCAATTACTGAATATTTCAAAGTAGAGTGCTAACATTAGCCTGTAATTTTCCCTCATCCTCTGGAGGATCGGTTTGGTTGCTGATTAAAGCGCTGATGAGAAGCGTCTCTCTCTGCATCAGTGGGTGAACGGGTGAACAGGGTCTGAGAGGTGAACGGGGAGAAGCGAATCTGAGAAACGCAGCTGGTGCCTCATTTAGTCACTCTACATACACTTTTCCATAACATCACATCGCAAATTGAGCGAACCTTATTAGACCTGTGCAAAACATGTCAGAAATGTAAGAGACATCAATAAACCTGCATGTTTGACTAACTGGATTGTGACACTAGTATTCAGAGCAGTGTTTAAGCTAATGTTTGCATTGCGATGCATTACTAATATGTTCAGTTTAAACTTTATTAGGATTGCATTTTCATAATATATGTTCCAAAGCTGCTTTACAAAAGGAGCATGCTTTTACATTACAGTCAAAATCAGAATATGTACATAAATTATTCATAAATTAGCATTTTTCTGTATTTTTTGATTTCTGTTTATAATTTTTCCTCACTTATTTTTGCTATTCAATTGCATAATGCAACATTAATCTTTCTTTAAACAGCTTTTAATCTTAAAAAGTTGTACAAAGTGACTTATGGACATTTTTTAATAGTTTAAAATGACTCGCTGCAGAATTGAATGTGCACCTAAACTCTCCTGTTTACTCCAAAACCTTTGGTCACTCATGCCAATGCCAAACACTGGTTTCAATGGTGCCAGCAGCAAAAATCTTGGACTGTGGACAATGTGAAACATTTATTGTTCTTTGAGTCCATCTTCACTGTCTTTCCCATTTGAGAGAGTTATGGTGTGGAGAAACCCCGAATAAGCATAGTAGCCAGACTGACTGTCACTGCACAGAGTGAAGCTGGGAAGATTTGTTAACAGTACTTTAGACGTATTATGAATATGATTTATGAATCACTTGCAGTACAGTACAACAATATTTAAATATATTTGAATGGGATAGCCCCTTGAGATGAATCATCTCATTTTCGAGGGGGTCCCTAAAAAGTTCAGAAATCAAACAGAGTACAACACATCATACCGTACATACAACTAACAAAACAAACAAACAAGCAGCACACTCCACCTGAAACACTTCCCACAATCTGAAGCCTAAATAAACAAAAACATATAATCGAAAGTAGAATTTGTTATACAAATAAATGATAAACATTTAATTTGGAGCCAATATTAATAACATTCGCAAGTTCATTCATTCATTTTCGTGTTGGCTTAGTCCCTTTATTAATCCGGGGTCGCCACAGCGGAATGAACCGCCAACTTATCCAGCAAGTTTTTTTTTTATGCAGCGGATGCCCTTCCAGCCGCAACCCATCTCTGGGAAACATCCACACACACACATTCACACACATACACTACGGACAATTAAGCCTACCCAATTTACCTGTACCGCATGTCTTTGGACTGTGGGGGAAACCAGAGCACCCGGAGGAAACCCACGTGAAGGCAGGGAGAACATGCAAACTCCACACAGAAACGCCAACTGAGCCGAGGTTCGAACCAGCGACCTTCTTGCTGTGAGGTGACAGCACTACCTACTGCGCCACTGCCTCGCCCCATTCGCAAGTTGTTTCCAAAAAAATAAAAAATAAATTAGCCCTGAAAAGACTGAGTGATTTAATTGATCTAAAAAAGGAAGGGAGATTGTTCCAGTCGGAAGGAGCTTTTTATCGAAAGGACCTACGGCCACTTTCTATATAAATTCTGGGAGCAAAAATAAATAAATATTTCAGTTGCATATGACGAAACCAATTTGATGGAACAAAAAACTGCTTTAAATAGGAGGGGAAACTGAAATAAACAGATTTAACTGAAACAAATACCAATGATACTGTCTGCAGAACTTCAGTTGAAGAGATTCATATAATACAGTGTGATGAGTTCTATAAGGACATCTTAAAACAAATCGACACAGAGAATTGAAAACAGTATTTAAAGGTTTTACATTAATATCAGAGGTATTGTTGTAGATAATCCTAATTGAGGGCTTCTGGGAGAGAGAACTCAATAAATGTATTGATCGGGAGACCGTCTGGGTGAACTGTTTTGTAACTTAAAAAAGACTAGCTCACCAAATGATGCAATCTTAATTAATTTATAAGACTTATGATGCCCCCTGTCTGTTATTTAAAAAGAAAGCCGGACCGTTTTTGGCATTTGCATAAAAACTTACTTGTGATTTATTTATTTTTATTTTTTTTTTTTGCAATGTCACCCAGCCCTATATTCAATTCAGTTTGTTTCACTCCATTTTTATTTGTATAGCGCTTTTACAATGTAGATTGTGTTAAAGCAGCTTCACGTAGAAGATCATAGTAAATTGAAAACAGTGTAGTTCAGTTAAATGTGTTTTAATATTTACTGTTGAGAGTCCAAACACTGAAGAGTAATCAAATCAAACCACTTTTATTGTCACATCATCAGCAGCACGTGTGCTATGATGAGTGAAAAGCTT